CTCTTCAAAGAGCTCTGATACCATCTTGGAACAAGATAAATGGAAAGGTACTTTCATTATCAAAGAAAGAAAACAATAATAGTGAACAGTAATAATAGCCTATTACAGATGTGATATATATATCATCTAGCTACCAAACATAAAAGACAGAAAGTAAACCGTGTGGTTAGGTGCAAACCAAACTAACCAAAACTAACTCAGAAACTAACTCTAGCTAACTGACTATTAGTTAAATAAACTAGAAGGCTAATAATGTAATTACAATGGAATAAAATATATTCTATATCAAATGATGACAATGTCAGTAAGCATTTGCTTCATTGGGCGTTTGGTAAAGCTCTAAGCAATAGAATGGCATGTTTGGAGAGCAACACGTATGATACAAGGTCGACGAGGACAGAAAAATTATCAAATCTACATTACAAATTGAATATTCAAGGACTATTAATACAGATAAACATCATATGCAAAAAGGCTACAATTAAGCTTATACGACACAGAACACTTCCCTATCAAGCGCTTACTTGGCCATAATAAGTGAGAAATGGACTACAAAAGGGCAAATTAACACAATCATTTCTAAGAGGTAGTATGTAAGAACTCGCACCGTTAAATTAGAAATTTTAATAATTTAATTATAAATTTAAGAAATAATTCCATTATTGACATCTTATAAATATGGGAAGACTTAAATAATAATTATAAAGGCTTAATAACGATGAAAGTCGCTTTCCTGACGACAAGTGCAGATACCGGTGATGCTTCACAGTATAAATGCGTACCGATGAAGTATCTCTAAAAATTATAATGAGTACATGAATATGTCAAGAAAAATACCTAGGTCGACTATATCAAGTTTTGAGTCAAAATAATGAAAACTGACGTCAGAACTTATACCGGCTACGTAAAAACGTGTACCAGCAAAGTGCTGTGAAAATTATAATAAAAATATGAAAAATCCTAGAAAAACGGCTAGGTTCAGAATCTAAAGTTTGAGATTAAAATGATTAGCGGAGCTATTAGTGCTAATATCAGCGGATTAAACTTAATGGGATTATATATACTAAGTGGCACTGATTTCTAGGTCTGATTATACAATTCCTACGTGCCTCTTTTTCTGAAGCATTCCATCCTCCCTTGCCACCCTCCTTCTTCTTCATGAAACTCAACCAAAGGTCCACCTTTCTTCATAGTTCCTTCACCAAAACACCATAGCTAGGTGTGAGCTAGTGTAAGAACCCGCACGTTAAATTAGAAATTTAATTAGATTAATTATGAGTTAAGAGATAAATTCCATAATTGAATTTGAATAATTATAAAAGAGCTTAAATAATTATAGTAAGTGATTAATAAAATTGAAAGTCACTTTTCTGACGAAAAGTGCAAATATCGATTTTTATTCACGATATAAGTGCGTACCGATGAAGTATCCCAGAAAATTATGAAAAGTATGTATATATCACTAGAATAATATATAGAACTAGTATAACAAGTTTGGAGTCAAAATAATGAGAACTGGTGTCAGAACTGATACCGGGTACGTAAAAGCATGCATCGGCAAAGTGCTGCGAAAAATAAAATAAAAATATGACAAATCTTAGAAAATGGCTAGGTTCAAAATCCAAAGTTTGGGATTAAAATGCTAAGCGTAGCTATTATTGCTAATACAGTGCGATTAAAACTTATACGACTATAAATAGGCTTGGCCGCTTGGGCACATAATCTTAGGCTGATCTTCATCATTTCTACGTGGGTTTTCTGAGTGTTGAGCTGCTGCCACTTTCTTCCATGGTCATCCTTGCTTGAAAATATCTCAAACTTCTACCTTTCTTGTTGATTTTCTTCTTAGACTCCCATCACACTTGAGAGCAACCTTGGTGAGGGGGAAAGGCTCCCCATTTCTGTGCATACAACTTGTGTGAGTGAGGGTTGAGGGTTGTCCACTGAGTTGTTGTGGTGCAAGCCATTCTCTTGCACATTTGTGGTCCAAGAAGCCACCTTGTGAAGGAAAGAAACCAACTTGAGGAGTCAAATTCGTGGTGGGTTAGTGACAAAACTGTGGGGGTTGTGGAAGGCTCCAAGACCACTCCTTTGTTCTGTTTTGAGCCTTTGGTATGAATCACCACCTTTGTTCATGAGTTTTCCTTGTTAAAAGTGAAGTCTTGGCATGTTTAATGAGATGATTAAGCAACTAACATGATCACTAGTCTAAATGGGTCTAAAGATGCATGCTTATGTGTATTAATGAGTTAAAAATACAACCTTGAGTGATATCTCGCGAAATGCAGAAACTGCATTCTGTCGCGAAAAATCCGAATATGATATCGGGATATTGATATTCGAAAATGGGCTTGGCGATATTCGAATATGGATATCCAGATATGGATATTCGGATATGGCCCCGACAAATATCCGGATATTCTGGGAATTTCGTGTTGGTCACTGTTTTGTTCATACAGAATGGTATTTTGGGTTTGTAGACCCATGATTGATGAAGTTGAACCTCAGTAATACTTGAACTAAGTCAGAATCAAGTGGATTAAGGGCTTGTGGCTTTGGGAGAAGCCTAATGGCATGAAACGTAAAAGGAAATGTTGTCATAACAAAATGAACCTTAAAGAGTATGGTTATTGATGATGTTTCTGGTCTAAACAGATTGTAATTGTGCTGTGTGTGGACCTTGGACTGCTGTGGACTCAGTCTTGGATTGATAACTTGAGAGGTAAGCTTCTGGTTCTCGGATTGGTCTGTTGTTTGTTCCACCTACCTCCATGGGAGGGTGGTTTATGTGCATTTATGCTTTTATGAAAGATGATATATGCATTGATATATGTATGAGATATGTTGATATAACTGTTGATGTAATGTATGAATGCGATGTTAGTACTTGTACGATCAGGCAGCAACCCTGGTGTGCAAGGCATGAGGCAGTATCCCTCATGTTTGCATACATCGCATGATTAATGAGTTGTAGTACTTGGCTCGTTGAGCAAGAGATATATTGTCATGATTTAAATGCCTTAACATAAACATGTGTAACACCCCATGTGCACCCGGCGTATTAAACATACATATGGCAGTAGCGCAGCTAATTAAATGCGGAAGCTAACTTTTTCTTTTCAATTATGACGTCATTATCATGTCATAATTGAAGAATCAAGCAGCCGATTTTTGGAGCAGCAAAAGCTACTTCAACAGCAAAATGAAAACTTTCAAAAGTTAGTTCAACGGCAAAATGAAAACATCCAGGTAACTTGTCGTAGGAATATATCATGAGATAGGATCATTTGACATCGGTGTCAAATTTGAAATTTGACACCTCATCTAAGAACTGCTAGATCAAAAAAGATCAATGGTGTCACATGCTTACAAATCAGAGTCGTTGATCTTTTTTGATCTAGCGACTCTTAGATAAGGTGTCAAACTTCAAATTTGACACCGGTGTCAAAAGATCCTGCCTCATATATATCATATATGTGTGATAACCAAAGTTGCACATTTGCATGAGTGTGAGATGAGATGATGGTATATTAGCAAACAATATAGCTAGATTAAGTAGCTATTTAGTTGCTATCAGAATTTTGGTAATTCTTAAAATCTATTCTAAAGTAAGTGAAATTGATTTGCAGAGAAGTGAATTTTTTTTAATTTTCGTTGAATAGAATTAATTCTAAGCGTAAGTCCCACCAAATTTTTAAAAACATACATTTTTTATCCTTAAAAAAAATTCTACTTTATTATTCAACTGAAATAAATTCTTTTAAATTCATTTTTTAAAATATCATTTCCGAACACAAATGATCAATTTCTTAAAAATAAATTCTACCAAAATTTAAAACAAACGAATTTTGTGTTTAGGCATGGAGATACATGTAGGAATTTTAGGTAGACATTGTTTCAGGAATGCATGAGATAAAGTAATGAATTTGATGTTGACAATCTTCAGGAATTGAAAATGATGGTTCATCGTACAAAAACTGGAATACAGTTTCTGCAAAAGAAACACCAGGAGGATTTTATCAATCTAGATACGTATACTACTTACAAAATCCCACATTTTATTTTGTTACAGAAATATCCATAACTTAGGGAGTGGATCTTCTCATTTGCAAAAGTAGTCATGTGGTCATATTTTTTTATCACAATCACTCATTTAAAAATTATACCCTTTTCTGTTTTTTATTTCATCGTGAATGAATGGTTATGATAAAAAAACATGATCACATAACCACTTTTGTACATAAGAGGAACGACTCCCCATAACCTAGCTAATTACTACCTAACCTTAATAGGTAGGCACCTGCATAGCCTATCTTCTGCTGCTTCGAGATATCAGACAGTTCTTGAAGAAAACCGCAAGTTATACAATCAACTGCAGGACCTGAAAGGTTAAACTCAAAATAATCAGACTCAAAACAAATTTGCTAACACGTCAATTATTTTAAAAAAGATATATTGGTTAATGTGCCCTAATTAAAAATGAAATAAAATGAAAAAAAGATGAAATATTTAATATTTTATTATGAAAAGAAATAAAGTTTTCTTTATATTATTCAAAAACTATATTTCTAGAAAAAAAGGAGAATTATACTTACCATCACCTAAATTTACTATTTCTTATATTTTTTTTATAACTTTTAGATAATGGTGAGTAAAACATGATAGAAAGAGGAAGTTGAAAGAAAGAGGGAATGAGATGACAATAATTGTGTCTAATGACATCCATTGATTTGATTTCATCTTATTACAACAAGAAAGGTAGAAAGAGACGATAAATTTAGTTGGTGGTAAGTATAACATTTTCTTTAAAGTATAAATTTATTATAAGAATTCATCCTACCACTTAAATTAGAAAAATAAAAACATAAAAAATGCTAGAAAAAATAAATAAATTTCACCAAGTCTTTTTCATATTATTTTCATTTCCTAAATGCAAACTAACCTAAATGCCCAACGAGAATGTTATTATTTGGGTCCTCTCCATACAAATTGCAGTTTATTACTGAACGACGGCGTTCAACAGAGCATGTCCTTCTTCTTCTCCTCCTCCTCGTTCCAGCAATAAGACAACCTTAAGCTGTGCACCATGGTTAACGTTAACGATGGTCTCTAAGTGGGTCCCTCCCATGATGTTTGGAGCCACCATTGCAAAAGCTTTGTTAAGAAAGAAATGGAACCCAAAGAGAGTGAGCGTGCAGTGGTATTCATCTTCACACATGAACATGGCTGCAAGAGATGGAGAACTTAGGGTCTTCGTTGTTGCTGGTGAGGTTTCTGGGGATTCCATTGCTTCTCGTCTCATGGCTTCGCTTAAGCTTCTCTCCCCTTTCCCTGTTCGCTTTTCTGGTGTTGGAGGGTAAACTTTTCTTCTTCCTTTTGAACAAAAACAATATCTCTAATAATTTTAAGATAAAAAAAAAAAGTTACGAAAAATACATATTGTTCCAGTGTACTTGGAATTTTAGACATGTGGAAATAAGTGTTACTTTTTATTTTTAATGGTATTTATCAATTGACTGTTTGGTTATGTGACAAGTAATTAGTAATTGTTTGTGCAATTCAAAATTTAACTCAAATGCATCAGAGAATTCTGAGAATTTTAATTCCTTTTAATGTTTAATCTATTTCAGGGCTAAGATGTCAAGTGAAGGATTGCAATCTTTGTTTCCTATTGAGGATATCTCAGTAATGGGACTTTGGGAGCTGTTGCCACATTTGTATAGAATCAGAGTGAGTGGCATGTATATTGTTTACCATGGTAATTATATGTGCTTATGTTTTGCTTCGTGTATTTTAAAGAAAGAGTTATAATCACACCCTGTGAACTGATAACTGATAATAGTTAACTGAACTATGTAATTAGTACTATAGCATAGGTGCTTAATGGGTACTTTTATTATTGAATTGAACGGGTATCTGATCATTTTATCTTATTTTGAATCATATTTGAAGCTCATTTGTGTGAAATTCTGTTTGTTTTACAATGTGAATTCCGTATTTGTTGTATTTTCAGGTGAAACTGAATGAAACTGTGGAAGCAGCTGCTTTATTTGAGCCTCATGTTGTGGTAACAGTGGATTCTAAGGGCTTCTCTTTCCGGTTCTTGAAACAGCTAAGAGGTACTACTAAACTGCTGCATATTTGTTATTTTAAGGTATGGTGTAAGCAAATGGGGGAATGCTTTTTGCAGCTAGATACAGTCAGCAAAAATTGCATTCACCAGCGCACTTTCATTACGTAGCACCATCGTTTTGGGCATGGAAAGGTGGTGAAGCAAGACTCAGAGGACTCGCGGAATTTGTGGATCATCTATTGTGCATACTTCCGCATGAGGACAAAATATGTAGATTGAATGGATTATCTGCAACCTTTGTTGGGCATCCTGTCCTGGAAGATGTTCTAGAATTGAGTTTGGTATGGGCTTAGAATCTTTGCATATACTCTTACTAGCTTTGTCGTAAAGCTTATATATGTTTATTAGTGATTTTTTGGATTAATATGTACATGTTTTTTATTCCTCTTTCGTAGCAAAAGTTTAATTGAATTTTGTCATTTAATTGAATTATATGGTTGAGTTTTGTAGTAAATGCTGGATATATTTTCAGAGAAACAACTCCTCAGCCCATGAATGGAGGGCTGAAGGAAATGGTGAAGACTTCCAAAGTAAACATTCAGTGCCCCCAGGTACTTCTAATCAAACGAAGCTCCGCAAGTTCACAAATTTATTGTTTCTAGTATTCACATGTAAGCGCTAATGTTTACCATTTCATCAGTTTTACTCTAATGAGTTTCTTTTTGTTAGATAAATATTTGTTTTTACTTTCTTGCTCTCCTGTGCCAATATTTGTTGTATAATACTGTCCCAAAGGCCAGATTTTGGATCTGAAGTTAATTATAGTTCAAAAAGAAAAGGGAGATAAGAACCATTTTTTTAGATATAATTTGTTGTTTGTACAACTTTGTTTAATCATTGAAGTCATGGTTTGCTTTTATCATCTCATCATTTTCAAATTTAAAAGGAGCCACTGTCATTAGCTTGCTTCCTGGAAGCAGAGTACAAGAGGTCAGTCGGATGCTTCCCATCTTTGCAAACACAGTGGAACTACTGAAAGAAACTGTTCCACAGTTGATGACAATCATTCATGTTGCGCCTAATGAACATGTGGAAAATTTCATTGCTAATGCTGTTCATAGATGGCCTGTGCCTGCTGTACTAATCCAAGGTGGAGCAACACAACTGAGATATGATGCTTTTAGCGTAAGCCCCGTTGTCCCATCAGACTTCCATTTCAAATATTTTGAACTCATCATGTCAAAGCATGTAGCAGTAGTAGAAAATTGGTTTTATACATCTGACACAGACATCTGGTTCTGGCAATTGTTCTTATGATGTATTGTAGAATGATTACGGATTCTAGCTTGATCAAGCTCTTGTGGACAGTTAAATGGAAAAGCACATGATCTAAACTTGCAATGATACCATTACTGTTGATTTTCCATTAAGTGAGCCAGTAATTCTGTACAAAATGTTTCCTAAGTAACAAGTTTGGCCATTTCCTTCCGTTTCCTATTCCCCTCTGTATTTGGTGTTCAACTTACTTCAATTCATAAATGTGTATATAACTAAATATACCTTGTTTTCTAGCGCTGGAAATACTCTACATAATTCAACTAACAATGTGAATATAACTAAATTTGTTTTGATTAAAACTTTCACATTCATTTATTTGACCTGCATAAATTGTTCTTATATATAGTATTAATGCATAAAGGCTGTTATGTTGTGCCTAAGTTGAGTTAAATGCTTTGCAGGCAAGTAGAGTTGCATTATGCACATCTGGGACAGTTGCTGTGGAGCTGCAGCTTGCACGTCTACCTTGTGTTGTGGCATATCGCGCCCATATTTTGACTGAATGGGTTATTCGGTACAGAGCAAAGATACAATACATATCACTTCCAAATATTCTTTTGGATTCAGCCATTATTCCTGAAGCACTGTTTCAGTCCTGCAAACCAGAAAACATAGCCTTACTGCTCAAGTAAGAGTAAAGTTCATATCATTTCATTTGCATTACTAATTTTAGAAGAAAATAATGAAAATGAAATGTCCTAAAAGCTTAGAATATGTTAGTTGCAGCAGTATTTTTTTTATTGGATTATTTGACATTAGTTAATGTCTCTATTTTACAGAGACTTAATACATGAAAATGGCTGTCGAGAAGAACAAATAGTTGCAGCCCAAAAGTTTGTGAAGCTTCTATTGCCTTCAGAAAGAATAAAGCATAACCTTCCATTGCAAAATTTGTTGACAACATATCCTAACTACAGTCCAAGTGCAGTTGCAGCATTGACTATATTAAACTATGGGAAATCACTATGACTAAGATCGAAGGACATCTTTATCAGTTACTTGTTTTTATCAGAAGAAATATTGTTTTGTTTCTAAACCTAACTGGTAGAAGAAGCTTTCAAAAGTGTAGAATCAATTTTGGAATAAACATGGTCTCGGGTGGATCAAGATATAATCTATTAACATTTGGAGTTGGAAAAGCATTTGCTCCATTTTTTGTTGAAGCTGCCTCAAATACTCCTCACCCTCAAGATAGAATGAAATATTTTCTTATGGTATATATGATTTTTTTTTTTTATATTATTTTTCAAGGATATACCACAAAAGAAAAGGTTTTCAAGGATCTGTGTTGAGATATATAGTCCCACATTGATTGTGTAGGCAAAATGTGGCCTTTATAAGGCTTTGGGCACTTCCACCCTTTGAGCTAGCTTTTGGGGTGGTGTATCCCAAGGTTCTTTACAATCTGCAATAACAGGAATAAATTTTGCCATCTGCTTGTTGAAGGGGAAGGGATTTCTAGGACGCAGGGGAGCTAAGTGTAGTCTAGATAGAGTGTTCGAAGCTTGTCTTTTTATAAATGGGGAAATCCTTGTATTCTGTTTTCTGTGCTATGTCTTAATACTTCTATGATTGTTGTAAAACAGATACAAAACATAGACATCTGCTTAACTAAAGTATATTGCTACAACATCTGCTACGTCATTGCGTGCCGGTTTTTGAAAATAGCTCATCTAGAACCCAGCCACACTCTCTTGTTGATTTTATTTACTGTTTCAGTAATATTTTTGGTCACCTTCATATATATCGAACTAACTGATTTTCCCAAGGGGATTCTACATTCTTCACAAATCAATTTGTCAATTGTTGGCCACTAGACCTTGTATAAGTAATTAAATTTATGAAACTCCTGTCGAATAAATATAGTATATTTCTCTTATAAATACATATATATATATATATATATATATATATATATATATATATATATATATATATTACAACCTAGGGTTTTAAATACCTTGTGACAAGATTTACACTATCATGCATTTTCACAGGGATTAGTTCTTCAACTAATGATTTTGAAAACACCTGTCGTGAAAAAAATAAATAGATCAAATATTGTATGCAAATTACTTACTAGCTAATTCCATATAGCCTTTTTATTAAGCTAAAATTCCTTAGCCATGTAGTTTGTTTGTTTGTTTTCTTTTTGAGATATTCCAATCAGTTCATCTCTTCGCAATTAGTCTGATTCGGGATGAATTTTGGGATTAAGGCTTTAATTCTTTTCAAAGACGATACTGAAGAGAATCAAACACATACTCTCACTTGCTCAGTTCCTAGCCATGTAGTTTTTAAGGCACAATAAAACGTAACAAGAATTGAAGAAAATTCAATAGCTTGAAAACTACCATGTACTTAGTTTGGAAAAACTTAAAAAAAAAAAAAAAACACAAAGCAATGAAGTAGAATAATACATATTGAGTAAAGCCCTTTTTAGATCCCTAACAAAAAACACGGTCTTCACTTTAGTTCCTTACAAAAAAAAAAAACTACTGAGGTCCCTAAGAAATTCAAAGTAAACCTATTTAGTTAAAATCGTAATCCCTCAAAAATTCAAAAAAGACCCAATTATTCCCTCAAAAGGACTAAAATTGGTCCACTTTGAATTTCACTGTAACGCCCCGCCGCTTCAAGAATCAATGACTATCCCCACATACTAACACGAGACTTTTTAGTGTGTTTTTTCCTCACTCGCACACTTCCTGGGAAAACTTTCCAGGAGGTCACTCATCCTAGAATTGCTCCAAGTCAAGCATGCTTAACTGTGGAGTTCTTCCGTTCCGGGCTACCGAAAAGTAGATGTATCTTGTTAGTATAGGTAGTACCAATTAATTCTTATAAGCTATCCCAAACTGTGCAGTCTCATACCTGCACAGTCTTTGGAATCCCTCTCTTTCGGGTGTCGATTCGATTCATTCATGCATTTAACCCCCCGCTGGATGCCTGTCAAGAGCCGCTCCTTGTCCATGCCCTTTCGCACCAGCGATCACTCCCCGCCCTCGTCAGCGCTTGGGATGTTGCATGTCCACCATCTTCCGCCTGGTTCGTCCTCGAATCACACTGTACTGGAAGAGAGGCCCTGCTCTGATACCACTTGTAAAGCCTAGCAACTTGCAAGGATCAACGACTATCCCCACACACTAACACGAGACTTTTCAGCATGCTTTGTCCTCACTCGCACACTTCCCGGAAAAACTTCCCAGTAAGTCACCCATCCCAGTATAATATCCCTAACCTAATTAAATAATAAATTATATGTAATTAAGTAATTTAGCATGTATTAGTGAGTTGAAATAAATAAAAAGCCTAATTAAATTAATTAGGGTCACTTTTGAGGTAAAAAGTGCAGTCAGTGAAAATAATGGGGTATAAATGGGTGTAGGCAAAAGTACCCAAAATATAAAAATAAAAGTGAGAATATTCCTAGAAAAATATTCAAGACTTTTGGGTAAAGTTTGGTGATGTATGGAGTTTAATAGATAGATGAGCTAATACCCGGTTGATTTCACTTAACCATTATAAGTGACAAAACACAAAATCACAACCCCTCATTTCCTTCTTCCTTCGTCGAGCCTGAGAGAGAAAAGAGAGTGGGAGAGATGACCTAATGGGAGAAGCAAACCCTAGGTCCATGGATTCTTAACCGATTTGAGTGATTCCAAAGCCTAAATCACTCTAAATCTCCTCCTCTTTCATAAACCTAACTTAGTTTCAAGTGAGAAGCATTGTGGAGAGAGATATCTCCCTCCACAGATTTCGCCCTTGTGAGGATTTGAGGAGTTTGAAGGTGATTCTCTCCATGGGAGCTTAGGAAATCAACATTCCTTGGTTGTGCAACCAATTGTGGTGAGTTTCCACTCCTTGAACTCTATTCTCATGGAGATTGTATGGTTGAGGGAGATGATGAATAGTGTTTTAGGGTTGTATGAGGTTGGGTTTGATTTAAGCTTAAGCCTTTGTAAATGTTGTTAGTAATGATAAATAAGCGGTGAAAATGAGTTTAGATTGTTATTTAAGTCATGTTCAAAATCTTGGAAAAAAAACATATGCTTGAAGTATTGATTTTCTAGTAGTGTAAGACATGGTTTGGTTTGGTTGATTATTGATTGTATCCATGTGATGGTTAGGATTGAGGTAATTGGATCACCCTTGAGGGACCAACCATTGGAGCAAGCTATGGAGCTTGATTAGCCCAATTGGATAGGTAAGTCCATGCCAAATTGTTGTGTTGTTGATGAATACATGGATATTCATTAAATTGTATTGATTGATTGTGTGACACCTTGGTGTAGGTGAGTTTTGCAAGTTATAGCTTGAATACGAAGTTGACTGGTTGTAGAAATTGTTGGTGAAGAACAAAGGTTGAACTGAAGCTGAGGTAAGCCTTCGGACCTTAGGTGTAAATCCCTTTATTGTTCCACCAAGCCCTGAAGGGGTTGTGGTTGTTAATCATGTATATAAATGCAATGAAATGGTTTAATGCTTTGTTATACGTATGTGTATGCATTTGGTGTGGCATAAGATGGTGTTTCCCTATGTTGGTATGTTGCATGACGATGCGTAATTCATACTTGGTAGTTTAGCTGGCCAGTAGGACTATTTGCATCTGAGTATCCTTAGGACAGCCTGAGGGCTCGAGGGATTTCTCCTGGAGATGTTTGTTTACACACTGCATGGATATGTATTTACTGCATTATTTATTGTTATTGCTATTACACTGTGATTGAACTATGGGGTGGAGAGATGCTCCAAGGACCTCTGGTTTACTGTGATATATTTGTATATCTCACCCCGTGTGGTGGGGATCCCCTTTCAGGTAAGGATGTTGTAGGAGCCTCCAGTGGCAAGTGGCCATATTTGGATTAGTTGATACATGAAGATCTTGCATCATTGGAATTAAGCATGCCATTTTGTAGTTCAGATGTATAGGATTGTTAATTGAAAGCCAATGGTCATATGCATGTTATGTTTTAATTGGATGGACTTAGCCTATGCTCATCTCCTGTGGTATCTCTTCTGTTGTTGGGAGCCAAGGACTTGATCATAGTATTTTGTAGCTAAGTCCCATGAATCTGTAATTAAGACTTGTAGAGATGCTGTAATGTTGGGAATATTGTATATATAAATGATGTCAATTAGGCGAAAGAAGACTTATAGGTTGAAAATCCATGTGAAAATAAAGATATCCTATCTTGTGGTCCATATTTCATATTCTATATGATAGATTTGGACCATTGTGTCTTAATGGAAGTTGTAGATATTTTTTTTAGCTTTCCAACGAGACCAAGATTGCGTAAATAGGAGTAGTATAAATATAGTTATAGATGAAATACAAAAGGAGGTCAAATTGCCCTGTTTTGGTGCTTGCTCCAGAACTGCGGCGCTCTTAACATCAAGTTCACGCTATGAGCGCCAACCAGCAGTAGGTTTGACGCTATGAGCGTGAGACTCACACTATGAGCATCAACCTCTCTGACTTCTCACGCTATGAGCGTGAGACTCACGCTATGAGCGTGGGGGTCCTGGGGATTTCAGCATCCATTTTCTTAGAAATTTCATAACTTGAGCTACGGTGCTCCGATTTAAGCGCGGTTTGAACCCACGCGTAGCTAATGAAAAATCCTATAACATATTAGAAAATTGGAGACCATAAAAGTAGTATAGGAATTTCTTAAATAAATAAAGAGTATATATGTTTAGTGTTTAAGAACTATAAAGTAAGTATATAAATTCCAATTTAATAAAAGGCTAAGAGAGTTTAGTATTGAACTCGAACAAAATAATGATATGATGTTAAGTTTAGTTTTGATTATTCCGCAAAGTAATGATGTTATGGTCACGCAATTGGTTATTTCAAACTCGGCGTTGTTAAAAAGGAAAACAAAAAATTTATCCGGGTTTTTAATTGAACCAATGTGATTGTAACTGCGCTTAATATCATAAAGCAATGTTAACAAATCAGTTCTGGAACGGGGTGTTACACCCAGAATTACTCCAAGTCAAGCACGCTTAACTATGGAGTTCTTCCGTTCTGGGCTATCGAAAAGTAGATGCATCATGAAAGAATTCTATAACACGTTGAAAGATGGAGACCGTAAAAGTAGTATAGAATTTTCTTAAATAAATAAAGAGTGGAGATGTTTGGTGTTTAATAACACTAAAAATGAGTTTATAAACTTTGTTGGTCTAAGGGGACGACTTGGCACACTAGGGTAGCAACATATGGTTTAAATAAAGTTAGTTATGTTAGGTGTTCACACATAGTTTAAGTTATGATTACAACTATTGGAATTGTTTTAATTATGGATTTGATTTTAAATATAAACGTTCACTAACGCAAAAAGGAAAAAGTTTATCCGTACTTTAATTCAATTGTTGTGATTGTAACTGCGCCTAATGTCATACGTGATATTAACCAACCAGTTCTAGAACAGAGTGTTACATTCACGACTAATTTTTTTTTTTTGGAAGTGTCTAAAATAAGGACAGTATTTTTTATTAGTAACCCAAAACAGATTTTACTCATACATATTATTTCATATATGACAGAACTAAAACCAAATTTGTTTCATACTTTGTTCAGAACATAAATCTCTTGATCCTTCAGCTGGTAGATTGAAATATCATGGAAGGGCAGTGGGAGAGGATGTCTTGAGACAGAAAGTTCATTAGCCACTTGTTGCATTGATGGTCGACACTTGGGGTTTGAATGAAGGCATTGTAAGGCTAGTGTGGCAACAAGAACTACATCTTCAATATCTTTCCGAGCTCGGGGAACACCTAGACGCGAGTCCAATATATCTTTCAAAATCATCTTTTCAGCATATGACTTTGTCCAAGAAGAAATTATGTCTCCCGGATGCTTTCCCATCACTATTTCCATTACTACCACACCAAAACTATACACATCACATTTTTCTGTCAAAGTTAATGTGTATGCCAGTTCTGCATCAAAATCATAGATTTGAAGAATATTATTGCTTCAATATATATTTACTAAATAAATAAAATCAAAATGAAATACACGTTTCAGGAAATATTTCACGAAATTGCATAGATCATTCCTTGTAGAAAAAATAGTACACATATTCTGTCTGTCCCTCGTATTCAAAGATTCATCAAATTTACCATATTTCAATTAATTTTTATAGTAATTAATTTGATATTATATTATATTTTTACCATCAATAACTTCAACGTAAAAATTATGGTTCATTGTGACACAACTTTGTAATAACCATAGAATTTAATGGAAAAAGTGTTACCTGGAGCAATATATCCATATGTACCGGCTATCAAAGTTTGATTAGAAGAGTCAGGATCAATGAGTCTAGCTATTCCAAAATCTGAAAGAAATGCTTCGAATTCCGAGTTCAACAAAACATTGCTACTTGTAATATCTCGGTGAACAATTGTTGGTGTACAATCATGATGCAGATAAGCCAAAGCATGTGCTATCCCTTTAACAATATTCACTCGCTTGCTCCAATTCAACTCTGTAGCTTCCTCATCATTCCTCAGGACATAAAATAAGCTTCCCCTTTCAATGTATTCATAGATTAAAAACATACATCGATTGTGCAAGCAAAATCCATAAAGCTTAACAATGTTCCGATGACGGATATTTGTCAGCACTTGGACTTCATTTCGGAAACACTTGTCAAAAGATGGGTTTTGAGATTCCAATCGGTGTAGTTTCTTCAAGGCAACAATTTTACCACTGGGAAGTTGTGCTTTGTAAACACTTCCATAAGCCCCTGTGCCAATGCAATACTTGATATGAAAGTCCTCTGTTGCTTCAATGATATCTTCAAATGCAATTTTACCATCATAATTCCATATGGAAAACAAGTCTCCATTCTTTGCTTGTTTCTTTTGGAATTTGGTCTTCCTAGCCATGAATCGATAAACAAGCAAGGCCCCTATAGATAGGAGAACAAGAAAAGTAGTGACAGGAAGAATGATCTTCAGGGAACGACCACTCTGAATATGACCAGATGAGGGGCTGGGGGATGGCTCGTAAGAGCATGTAGCAATTAATCCCTGATTACCAATGAATGTGTCCAGAGAAAATTCACAACAAATTGCTTCAGAGATACTGCCACTAAGGGAATTGTATGACAAATTGAGGCTTTCAAGGTAACAAAGCTCCATAGGAATATTGCCACCGAGATTATTGTAACTAAGATGCAATGACTTTGTTATGAGACCAAACACTGAAGGAATACTTCCATTTAACTTGTTGTGAGAGAGGTTTAGATCAGAAAGGTATCCCCTACAATCATGCGGCAGTGAGCCAGATAATTGATTGGATGAAAGATCAAGAATATATAGAGAAGTCATTTGAAAAACTTCTGACGGTATGCTACCAGATAGATTGTTATTAGACATATCTAGTACCCTCAAATATTCTAAATTTTGAATTGTGGGGTGTATGACACCACTTATTTGATTTGAATGAAGAGTTAAATTCATCAAATAAGCTAACTTGTACAGAGACAAAGGAATTGAACCACATAGGTTATTTGCAGCCAAATCTAGATATAAAAGATTGGTGACAAAATTTCCTATCTTTGAGGGAATTGAACCATTGATTTTGTTCAGGCTTAGGGAAAGACTTTCCAATCTTGATAAATTGCTATTTATTGGAGGGATTGGGCCAATGAGTGAGTTATTAGAAAGATCTAACTGTACTAAGTTATTAAGATTCAATAATTCCAAAGGGATGGAACCACTGATTTGGTTAGAATCAAGAAACAGGTTGTGCAAATCTTTCAAATAGCCTAAACTCTTTGGAATTCGACCTCCGAGTTCGTTATGGCCAAGATCCAAACTAGTCAAATGCTTCAAACTTCCAATTTTGTTTGGAATCGAACCATTTAACTTGTTGGAACGAAGCTTTAAAGTGAACAAATTCTTTATGTTTCCTATTCCCGTAGGAATTGGACCAATCAGGCAATTGGAACTCAAATCTAAAGTGGACAAATTTGTTAGCTTCCCTATGTCATTGAAAATGAAACCACTGAAAGCATTTGCCGAAGCCACAAGCTTCTTTAGCGGGAGATTCGCAAGCGTGTTCGGCAGCTCACCACTAAAATTGTTAGTGGATAGATCAAGTTTGGTGAGACTAGTCATGTGACCAAATGTTGTGGGTATGGACCCATTAAAGCCATTTCTGCTCAAATTCAATGTGACAAGCTTTTTCAAATTGCTAAACTGAGGAGGTATCACACCGAATAGAGAATTGTTTGAAACATCAAGCATCACAAGTTGAGTGAGATTTGCAAGTGAACTAGGCAACTCACCTTCTAGAGAATTAGAGGACAAAACAAGATGAGTGAGACTAGTCATGTGACCAAATATTGTGGGTAAGGACCCATTAAAGCCATTTGCGCTTAAATTCAATGTGACAAGTTTTTTCAAATTGCTAAATTGAGGAGGCAGCACACCGAACAGAGAATTGTCAGAAACATCAAGCATCACAAGTTGAGTGAGATTTGCAAGTGAACTAGGCAACTCACCTTCTAGAGAATTAGAGGACAAAACAAGATGAGTGAGACTAGTCATGTGACCAAATGTTGTGAGTAAGGACCCATTGAAGCCATTTTCGCTTAAATTCAATGTGACAAGCTTTTTCAGATTGCTAAACTGAGGAGGCAGCACACCGAACAGAGAATTGTCAGAAACATCAAGCATCACAAGTTGAGTGAGATTTGAAAGTGTAGTAGGCAACGCACCTTCAAGAAAATTATTAGAAACATCAAGCATCACAAGGTTAGTGAGATTTGAAAGTGAACTAGGCAACTTGCCTGTAAGACAATTAGAGGACAAGTCAATAGAGGTGAGTTTGGTAAGAGCGCTAATTTCTGTAGGGATGCCACCGTAAAGCTCCATTGAACTAAGATTTAGAACTACTAAATTGGGCAATGCAGTGAGGTTGAGGTCCTGAAGATATAGCTTAACCCCCCAAGAATTACGAGTTTTAGAAATCTCTGTAATACTTCCAGCTTCATTGCATAAAATACCAGGCCAAGTACAGGGATTTGAGCTCTGTTGGTCACTCCACCAATGGGTTTTGTACAAAGCCTCACGTTCCTCTTTTATGAATGAAGAATTAGATGTGGCCATAACAGCAGGAAGGAATAAGGGGGAAGGTCTAGCAAAAAATAAAAGCGGAACTATCACTAACAAAATGCAATTAGAGTTTGCCATGGAATGCTCAAATTCGAAATGGCTCAGTTACAAAAACTCATGGGGCTAATGAGCACTTTAATAATGCTACTACTCTGGTAACTTGGTACTTGCGACAATGGTCAACTGCATGACAAACGCGTTTCATTGGGATTTATGGTCAATGAAGCCCACTCACACTCACTTTATAGCAATTGCATCGAGGGAGAAATTCACCCATAATTTAAGTTGTCGCGGACTTGGGCTCCACTTGGAGAAATATGTGATGTACTTCTCTACTTTTTCTGACTGCAATTATAACTTATATGCACTTAGAGGGCATACTTAGGTAGTAACCTGCGGTTGGGGTAGAAGTGTAGTGTACTTTGTCCTTTTGGCCTTCGGTATTAAAACATAAAATCAAAAAATCAAAAAATTGCACTTGAAATGTAATTAACAATTTTTCTTTTTAAGGCTAGTCACTACCACGATATATATCATGATTCCTAAATGCAAGCCAGCCGTTATTACCCCCAATAACTTTCATTGTTTTTTATTAGTAAAATTTGATATCCATGCACGGATCGATGAATACATATTGTATCTATTATTATAATTTTATTTATTTAAAAATTATAAAAATAAATATTAGATTTAATAATATGGTTTAGATCATTTATACACATGAATGAATAAAGTACTAAATTCAATTTAAAAATTAGAGTACTAAAATTTGCTTAATATGTATTCTTCTGAAATTATATTTACATTAAATCCAACAAGATAGTCTCGCATTAGTGTTTTTAACTGTTTTTTTATGAACATGTAAGTTACTTTTTGATAAAAATGGATAGTTGCTTTTTGAAATATTAGTTATATCGACATTATGTTAATGTTTATGGTATTAACTTGAAATCGTAAGAGTGAGTTTAAGCTACATACATTATTATTAATGAAAGTAGAGTTTGCCATGGAATGCTCAAATTTGAAAAGACTCAGTTACGATGATTCATGGAAAAAAATGAGCACTTTAATAAAGCTATTGGACTGGGAACTTTATCAACGGCATGGCCAACACGGCCATTTAGAAATTTCCTTACAATATCGTGGCCAACATGATCAAACGTGTTTTTTTCGGTCAATGTCTGAAACATCAGAGTCAGAGGACTGTGAAGTCTTCCCCGGTACTATCTTTGGAATGCATTTAAAGTCTTAATTCTGGTTCCGCTCCAAACACCTCCCATGGAAGATACCTGTAATTTATCCAAAAAATAGGACTATAAAGTTAAGAGAATTGTTAGAAAATAATATAAACCATTAAAAAACCCTCACCCATCAGCTTAAGCTTTTGGGTTGAATTTGTTCCTTACATGGAATCATAGCCTAGGTGTCACATGTTCGATCCTCACCGCCCCCGGTTTCTCTTGGTTTGTTCCTTACATGGAATCATAGCCTAGGTGTCACATGTTCGATCCTCACCGCCCCTGGTTTCTCTTGGTTTGTGTTGATAAAAGTTTATTGAATATATTGCATCAATACTGCTGATTGACCTTTAGACGGAATTGATATGGATGATGTGTTGGATTTTTAAATTGTACATTATTGTACATGTCAATTATTTGCCAGTAGATTATTGAGTTGAATTAATGGAATTGTTCAGTGAAGATTAATTATGCTAGCGAGGCATGAAATTCCCAATTGAGTGTTATGATTTAATTGTTGTGGGATATGGTTGAGCCCGAATCTGGGAATTGTGGGCGAGCTAATTGTCACAAACACATAGTTGATATCCCAATTGGTTGTGCATGGTTGATTTGGTTTAACATTGCATATTTATACTTAGTTTAACTCTTGATTAATCGTATCATGTTGTTGATCTTTAGTTATGTTACCTTTATAAACATGTTCAATGCTTTATGGCTGTTGTGCTTTTGCACTCATTCAATTGAAATGGCTCAATTATATTCTGATTGCCAAATACACTGCTGCATAATTTGTTCTTTATTGATCATCTCTTCTGAATATATGCACACTAGCTGTGATATTATTATGATAGCCAAAATTGTTTTGTTCACTTCAAGCTCTTATTGATATTAAATCTGGATTTCTTAGTGATTGAATATATCCACAAATTTGTTTGAGTTATGACATAGTCTGATTCCCCATTTTGCATTTCATGCTGAATTTTATATCTGATAATTGTAACTTTTTTGAATTACAAGGAAAACAGGTATCTAAATACAAGGGCATTGGCTCTGGAACAAAGAAAAGCACAGGTTCAGGCACCAAGAGGCCTAGAGCCTCTTCAGGCAATACCAGGGCTTCAAGATCCGATTTTGATGGTGACATGTTTCTCTCTGCTGCACACCAGGAGAGGTATGAGATTTGGTTCATGCCTAAGTGTATCATACCATAGAGGAGAATCAGTCTTGAGTTGCTAGAGGATTCCCCTATCCTGGCCACTATCAGGAAGAGGAAGTGGGAGACTCTGGTTACTTTTCTAGCTGCCAGTCCGAGCACTATTCTCAGGGAATTCTGTTCCAATGCGGATAAGGATACAGTCGAAGAGACCAGGAAAACTTGGGTGAGAGGGAAGGAAGTTCTCTTTGATGCAGCCACCATAGAGAGATTCCTTCATACCAATTACAATGCTAATAGGAACTGTCATTTCATGCAACACTATAACAAGCTTCAACCCACATATAGAAAGGTAGTGTACAGAGAGCATTTGCCTTAGGTGGCTGAGACACTTAGGCTGGGGATCACCCACCCACATTCTTGTTGGAAAGAGAAACAAGGGAAACCAGGTATTCCAAAAAAGTTGAAGAGGATAGATTTGACTAGTGAGGCCATTTTTTGGCATGGATTCATTAATTCTACAATAATACCCTCCACCAACCTGAGTGATTTGAACATAGAAGAGAGCTGTATTGCTATATGAGCTGATGAGTGAGCATAACCTGCATATTGCTTCTATCTTGTCTGATCGCATAGTGTACATCATCACTATTGGCAGGAAGAAAGCCAGGCTAGTTCATAGCTCCTTGATTACACAACTTTGCATTCGAGTAGGGTGCAAATTTCAGCTAAGGAGCCAATTGATGTAGAGGTGGATCGCCCTATGACGCAGAGTAACTTTAACGCTCTGAGCAATGAAGCTCGAAGAATTGCCATCTGGACGGCCTCCTTGCATCAGAGCGGATCACCAGCTACGCAGAGTCCACATGCAGGGGATCCTACTGCTCCTTCGGCTGCACTTTCACCATCTTCTCAGCGAGCACCTCTCGAGCCACTCTATCAAGACTCACCCGTCATCTTGGAGATGCAGAGACAGCTTCATAGGTTATCTGTTCAGGGCGATTTATTATTGCACACGGATGCTGGAGGCCCTTTGCAAGGAGAAGAGCATTGATTACACTGTTTGGAGGCCACATTCACCACCACTTGTAAAGCTCGGTCGCTTCAAGAATCAATGATTATCCTCACATACTAATACGAGACTTTTCAGTGTGTTTTTTCCTCACTCACACTTCCTGGGAAAACTTCCCAGGAAGTCACCCATTCCAGAATTGCTCCAAGTCAAGCACGCTTAACTACGGAGTTCTTCCGTTCCAGACTACCGAAAAGTAGATGCATCTTGTTAGTATAGGTAGTACTAATTAATTCTTATAAGCTATCTCAAACTGTACAAGTCTCGTACCTGCACAATTTTTGGAATCTCTCTCTTTCGGGTGTCGATTCGATTCATTTATGTAACCCCCGCTGGAAGCCTGTCAGGAGCCTCTCCTTGTCCATGCCCTTTCGCATCGGCGATCACTCCCCGCCCTCATCAGCGCCCGGATGTTACACCGCATTCACCATCACTTGCACCTCCAACACCAGAGGAGCCTACAAAGCCCACAGAGCCAGTAGAGGATGACAGTACGGAGGAGGCTTAGACACATTTGTTGCCATTCCATCTATTTTCTTAGTTTTTGTCTTTTCTATTTTCTTCATCTGCATTTTTACTTTCAGTTCTATTGAGACAGTTGAGATATGTTTATGCTCTCTGGGACATTTGCTTTCATTATCCTGTTATTGATGTTTGATTCGTATATTGTGTTCTAATTGCGTAGAAGTTATTATTCTTCGACTAGATTAGAATTTATTGCTTGGGATAGAAATTCTCTAAATCTGGGAATTGTGGGCGCATCGTACATGCGATAACTAAGGAACTCATTCCAATGAGAAGGACACCTAATAGGAAAAAAAAATTGATTCAGGGGATATATCTCAACCCCTCTTAACCTTTGTTTTGTTTTTAATTTTTTTTTTAGTGTTTAATCACTCTCTGAAAAGCATGTCTAGATTTAGATAAGCTTAATCAGTCAATAAAGTTGAATAAACTTTAGGAATCATGTTTAATCTTGTGAAAACTCACAATATTTGCTGACATGATAGTGTGTTGAAAATGATCTTGAGTTTATGATTGCTCATTTTATTGATTTCTATAATAGCCCATATTAATTAATTAGGAAATCAAGTGTAATTAATTAATTAAACATGTTTTACTGGGTGAAATTAAGTATGAGGCTTAATAAAATGAATCTGAGTCACTTTGGAGTTAAAAAGTGTACTCAGTGAAAATTAAGGGGTATAAATGGGTATTGGCAAAAGTACCCAAAATATAAAAATAAAAATAGTAATATTCCTAGAATAATATTCCAGACTTTTGGGTAAAGTTTGGTAATTATTGGAGTTGAATAGATAGACGAACCAATACCCACATGTTACCACTTAACCAATGTTAAGTGGTAAAACACCAAAAAGAACCCCTCATTTCCCACCCAACCCGTCGAACCAGAAAGGAGAAGAGAAGAGAGGGAGAGAGAGGAAGAAGAAGAAAAGGGAAAGAGAGAGAGAGAGAGAGAGAGAGCAAATCCCAACGGTTTTGGGTGATTCAAAAGCCTAAATCGCTT